GTTTTTCCACTCTAGTGTTGTTCAAAGAAGAGTGAGAAACAAAGTTGTAAAGTTGAGAGGCGAAGGTGGGAGATGGATGGAATGCAAAGAGGAGATTAATGAGTCCTTTATTAGCTTTTATAAGAAGCTGTTTTCCTCAAATGGTTGCAGGAATCTGGAAGTGGTGTTAAGCTTTGTACAGAAGTTGGTTACGGTGGAAGATAATGCGGGACTTGAAAAGATAGTTACGAAAGATGAAATCAAGCGAGCAGCCTTCCAATTGGGTGGAGCAAAAGCACCAGGCCCTGATGGCTTCTCTGGAATGTTCTATCATTCTGCTTAGTCAGTTATAGAGAAGGAGGTAATTGAAATGGTCCTTGATTTTTTCAACAATAATGTGAGTTTGGAAACTTTGAATAAAACAAATGTGGTGCTTATACCAAAAATTGATAATGTTGAGTGCGTGGGACAGTTTAGGCCGATAGGCCTTTGCAATTTTGCTTACAAAATCATTTCTAAAATCTTAGCCAATAGAATGAAACCTGTGTTGGCTAGGATCATATCGCAAAATCAAAGAGCCTTTATAGAAGGAAGGTTGATTCAGGACAATATTATTATAGCTCATGAGGCATACCACTACCTGAAAAACAAGAAGAAAGTTAGGAAGTATGAAATGGCTGTGAAAGTAGATATGAATAAGGCCTACGACAGATTGGAGTGGAGATTCATTGAAGAGGTTATGAGAAAGATGGGGTTCAGTGAGAAGTGGCTTAACTGGATTATGGAATGTGTGCAATCTATGCAACTGAATCTTGTAATAGCAGGGAAGAAAATTGCAGAAGTTGAGATGAAGAGAGGAATCCGTCAAGGAGATCCCTTATCCCCTTTCTTGTTTATAATTGCAACGGATGCACTCTCCTTGATGATACAATGGCATGTGGAGAATAGATTGCTAGAAGGGATAAAACTCGCGAAACACTGTCCCGTTCTATCTCATTTGTTTTTTCACTGACGACTCACTCTTCTTTATTAATGCCAGAGGAAGTAAGTGCAAAAGGCTCATGGAGATTTTGAAGGTATACTCTCAAGCTTCTGGACAAACTATCAATCTAGATAAGTCTTGCATTTTCTTTTCTAAAAACACGGTTGATCGTGTGAAGCAAGAGGCCTTCGAGTTACTAGGAATAAAAGCTTCAGTTGATCCTGGAAGATATCTGGGCTTACCAGTGGTGTGGGGCAAATCAAAGTCAGAAGCCTTGAAGTTTGTGAAGAACAGGATGTGTTTGAAGATGCAGGGGTGGAAGCAAAGGTTACTAACCTTCGCAGGAAGGGAGATTATGGTGAAGGCAGTGTCAAATTCAATTCCTGTATTTCCTATGTCCTGCTTTAAATTTCCTAAGAAGGTGTGTATGGAATTTGATAAGTTGGTGGCTGGTTTTTGGTGGGGATAGAAGGAGGAAGAGGGAAGGATACATTGGAAATCCTGGAATTATATGTGTAAAGAAAAGGGGAAGGGAGGAATGGGGTTCCGAGACTTCATGAAGTTTAATGATGCTTTACTAGCCAAAACCGCTTGGAGGCTTTGTCAGAATCAAGATGATTTGTGGAGCAAGATTATGAAGGGCCTTTATTTCCATGATAAAGACTTTATGCATGCTGAGAAAGGAAATAAAGCCTCTTGGTGTTGGTTAAGCATCCTGGATGGTAGGCAACTATTGGGAGAGAAGTTGGTTTGGAGGATAAATAAAGGTGATAAAGTGAGCCTGTTTGAGGACAAATGGTTACCTGATGCCAATGGTTATAAGCTGAGGCAAGGGTTCTGACTAATGAGATGAAAGAGATAAAGGTTGCTGATATTATTATGGAGAGGAAATGGTGCTTTGACAAGGTGGAACAGTGGCTGTCAAATGAAGATAAGGAGCTTATAGGCAGAGTACGAATCCCTATAGTTGAAGATGAAGATAGGTATGTATGGATAGGGTGTAGGGATGGCATTTACTCTATGAAGATGGGTTATAAGGTAGCCCGAGAGGTGATGTCGGCTACTATTAAGGAAGCCCCGGCTTGCTCTTATAAAGTAGGTGATGGAATGTGGAAGGCTCTCTGGAAGGTAAAGTCTCCTCCAAAAGTTATTCACTTTCTGTGGAGAGCGATCTATGGTGCCTTAGCCACGAAATCAGCCTTGTACAAAAGAAAATGTGCTCCAAACCCTGCATGTGGTGTTTGTAAATCACATGAGGAATCAGTAGAACATGCTCTCTTTCTTTGTCCATGGTCAAGAATGTGCTGGTTTGGTTCGCCACTAGCTTTGATGTTTGATGAAAAAATTATGATCAGATTCGATTGCTGGTTTGAAGGTTGGGCTACTAGTAATTTTGTAAATGATGAATTTAATGTAACCTTGTTTGCTTGCATCTGTTGGTAGATCTGGAAGATGAGGTGTAGCGCTGTGTTTGAAGAGAAGGAAGTAGATGCAGTAAGGTGTCTCGAAGTAGCAATCAGACTTAGTAATGAATTCTGGGGCTGCTTAAGGAAAAAAAATGGAAGACTTACTGATGTGCAGAATTTAGAAAGAGGCTTGTTTTGGCAGAAACCAGACCAATGTATGGTGAACATTAATGTTGATGGTGCCTTTAATGTAAAAGATGGATCTGCTGGTATTGGGGTGATTGGTAGAGATAGCGAAGGAAGATTTTTAGGGGGTGTGGGCTTAAAGATTGAAGCTCATTCCTCTTTTATGGCTGAATGCAAAGCTTTATTAGAAGCTTTAAGAATCAAGGATTTGTTCGGAGGGGGTAAATTGATTCTGGAAACTGACTGTTTGGATTTATACAGGCGCATAAAAAATTGTGATGTGAAGGGTTGTGATTGGAGATGTACAGATTTGTTGTTGAAGTGCTTGGAGCCGGGAAGGTTTGAGGGCAACTGGGATTTGTCTTTGGTGTCATGTGAAGGCAATAATGCTGCTGACAAAATTGCAGCTTTGGTAATGAGAGGTGTGGTTCCGCAAGGATGGATTGACAATCCACCACCCTCTCTAAAGTTGGTTCTGTTGCACGACCTGGACAGCTCTGGTACTTCTTCCGTGAAGAAAGAAGGTATAGGTTGATTTTCCATTTTTTGTTCTTCTTTATCTTTCTTTAGGTTGTATTCTAGGCGTATTTTTTTCTTGTTTAGGTTGTACTGGTAGGCTTTAATTTTTCTTTACAGGGTATTGGTGCTTGTATTTCCTTTGTTTTGGTAATAAAATGGACTCTGTTTTGCTCAAAAAAAATATATAGGGTCTGTATGCCTCTTTTTTTAGTTTTGTCCTTAATTATTTATTCTCTCTCTTTTGTCATACACTCTTGTTACATTTTCTTATAAATTCTCCTTCATCTTTTTCTTATTTATTATAAGAGCATATTTGGAAATCAAACTATATTTCTAATTTATTTATTACTTTTAACCAATTTTAACAACTTGTTTATTATTCATGAATTAATTATTTAAAAGTCATAATACGAATAAGAGGAAGTATTATTTTATTGTTTCGTTCCTTATTCTCTTTAAGTTCTGTTTTTGTCCTAAACCCTGAATTTCCACACACATACTCCAATTTATACTCCTTCAGTTCTAAATATAATACTCTTATACTATAAGGGTATTATATTTAAGACCGGAGGAGTTTTTTTTTGGGTGAATAGTACGGGTAAAAGCCCATCATATTATTACTTTAAAATCATGTGCGGGAAAGCAACTCCCAACATATCCCTATACAACAAATTCCTCACTTTTTGAGGAGGACTCTCAAAAATAATTAAAAATCTCTCCCATATCAAAGCTTAGGTTTGCAAGGCAATCTGCACAAACATTGCCTTCCCTGTATACATGTTGGAAACAAACTTGATCAAAACTATTCAAAACTAAATTTACATCTTTTAACAGGCTAGAATTTAACTCATACTCTTCTATAAAATGATCCTTCAAAGGCTTTATAAAGATAACAGAGAGGACATTGTTAAGAAAATCATCATCCTTTCGAACTTTGTTCAGTATATACGTAATTTCATTGTTCATGAAGGACGAGTTTGGACTCCTGCTTCTGCTGTAAAAGATATCAAGGGTAAATTTGGTTTCTCCTTCCTTGCCTTTTAGAGCTCGTCAATTCTAGGTCTTTTGATATGGATACTCATGTTTTTAATATAAAACCTCATTTGACTTTTATTTTAATCCTAAATATAAGACCCCAATCCATTTTGTCTCATATTTATTTATTTTTTCTTAAAATAATTATTATAATAATAACAGTTCTAGCAAGTATACTTGATTAACGAGGTTGTTTTAAGATATACAACACCTATTTATTATAAATAACTAACTTAGCTAATTTTCTTAATCTACTTAAATTAATCAACTAACTCTTATATTAAGGATCGAAAGTAGTATTTAATTTGGGCTGGATATTTTAATATACATTTGTAACTGGATAGAACATTGTAACAAAAGACTCCAAGAACTAACATTTTTCTGATTAAAAGTCGGTTATTTATATAAATTGATCTTTAACACACAAATGAAATAGCTGAACACAAATTAAAAAATAATACTGATGCTGTCTTAGGTAGGCATTATATTGGTGGCAAGATGAAAGATTGATATATGAGAATTATTCTATGGAAAAACTTATTTCATCGCTCATTTGTATTTACTTTTAGACATTTAACAAAAGTTTTGAAACAGTTTAATATACAATCATTATTAACATAAACACTTTTTTAATAATAAAATATACATTGATATCTTATGAATATTATAATAATAATACAAATCGACATCATCACAACTTACCATGCTTACTTAAGTGCATGAAGCAGGAGCTGAAACTCACTGCAATTTATTCTTTTAATACATATACACACACATATATTGTATCATATAATAATATATTACATATGCATCATCAATCATCAATTTATTTATCTAATATCCCTTGACCCATTTGTATATCCTGGATCAAAGTTGGAACCCTAGCTAGTTCCTTACACGTTCGGTTGTGGAATGTCGCCACCTTGTCCTTCGTCTTTATTGCCCCCGTTATTGTTGTCACCAAAACCTGATCCAAACCCCTGGCCGTTGCCGCCCAATGAGCTAGATCCGCCACCGCCTCCTCCTCCTCCTCCACCACCACGTGCTCCTCCTCCCCCTCCTCCTCCACCGCCACCTCCTGCTCCTCCTTTAGGAAGTCCACAGTCACCTTTATCATTTCCATCACAATTACAGCCCTGCGTCTTATCACAGGGCTTATTATCATCTTTTGACCCCTTGTCATCGGACTTATTATAGTCCGACAACGTATTGTTGTCGGACTGGTTGCCTTTGTTGTTTGAATCCTTGTCATGGGACCCATTCTCATTGTCTTTGTCGGATGAATTCTTGCAGTCGGACTTATTGCCTTTGTTTGATGACTTTTCGCCGGCGGACTCATCGGCATTACGGTCGGATGACTGTAATTTTGGCGATGACCTCACAGCAAATGCCAAGTCCAAAAACAGCAGAGCAACGAACACAAACCCTAGGACTTTCGAGCTGGCCATCTCGAAGCACAAAGCCAAAACCTCACTCAAAATAATACGATGAAATGCATGAAGCTCAAGTCCATCCCATATATATATGCAGGAAACTTTAGTTCCATTTTTTTCATTTAATTTTTTAAGAGAATTCATCGACCATACATACATCACAAGTTAATTATTTTTTAATTCAACCACCCATAATAAGTTTGAATAATTAAAGGAGTGACTAAATTGACAATTTTATCTTTGGATAAATTCTGTTTTTGTCGTATTTGTGATAACACAAGGAGCAAGGGTAAGGGCCTTTATAAATAGGCATCGTAAAGCTAAATATTAAGTCAGTGTCATTAATTAGATGATATAATATTAAAGTATCTTCCCTTTGATTTATCACCTACTGGTTTATTTTATTAATTATATATTCACTGTTCAACGTCATAATATATATGAAAAGAAATTAAGTTTCATATCTGATCTCTGTTTTGCGGTTTGGTGATGATACTGATATGGGACGTTCATTTCTTCTTTATCTCTATTTATTTCTTTGTGTATGCAATTCCCATAGTTTAAACTGATGCTTCTATTATTACTTATCAGTAATTACTTTGTAGAGATTGGTAATATTTTAATTAATAGGTGAATAGATTGCCATAATTTGCAATATATGGACGCGTTAATTTATATTAGGAAAGAAAATTATTGATAGATAGTTAGACACGGAATTTTTTACTTGGAGCAGGTAATTAGTCATCTGAAGAATTAAATAAATTTTGTCTTTATATTATATATAGGAAATGAAAAGACCAAATGATATGTTCACATATAAGAGTGCATCTTAAACTAACTTAGCTGCTTGCATGTTTCTTTTAAAATATGAGATGGTCATCATTAATTCTAGAGAAAGAAGCATATAGGAGATGAGTAAGGCTTAAATATGAATACATAAAAGTAATTAATTAAATTAAGGGTAAAAGTACAAAAATATCTACAAGATAATATCCTGTAACGAATGATGCCATCCTACTACCTCCGGTCCTTAATATAAGAACTAGCTTGATATTTAATTTGGTCTTAAATATAAGATATAAAATCATCTTGCCTCTCATATTTATCTATTTTTTTAAGATAGTTCTAATATTAATTGCACATATTAAATATTTCATCAAATGGTAGCTCTAACTAATGCACATTATTAGCAAAGGTATTTTAGGAAAAACAATACTTATTTATTACAAATAACTTATTTAACTAATTCTTTTTAATCTACTCAAATTAGTTAATTAGTTCTTATATCAAGAACGGGAGGTACTAAAGTCTAGTGTGGTGTAATATTACCCATAAACTCTCAAAACTAACCAATAGAGGTTAGGTCTAATGGAAGAGACTAGTCCCCTACAATGTGGTAAATCAAGATTCGAATCCCCATCGAGAGATATATCCACACTTAGTGTTCGATAGTGTTTTGAACATTAGGATTACTTCCAATAAAAAGATACATGTGCTTAAATAAAAAGAAACACTCAAAACTGGTGCTTAATGTCCATTAGGCAAGGGATGTGAAGTTGTGAACCCTACGTACGTGCTATGCCACGTGTAAAACTCATATTAGCTTAATATTGTATGACTCAGCGAACATGCCTCATTATATTAAATATTTTGGCCTCTCAACACGCATGCAAAATCCAACATATACAATACTCTATCTAAATTGATATAACAATCACAAATTAAAATTAATACAAATTCATTAGGCAATTCCAAATTGAGGTGATTCAGATTTAAAGACCTTACATATATACCATCTCGGAAGTAATATACTTTATATGTGTCTTCCTTTCAAATTAATAAAGATATATATAAGAACTAGTTGGGAGTTGAATTTGATCTTAAATATAATACTTCAATTTAATTTGTCTATTATGTACATTTACCATTAATTATTTTTCCTCAAACTAATTTAAGCACCCTATGAATTGAAATATAGTACTTCCACCGATCCTTAATATAAGAGCTCATTTGACTATTATTTTGGTCTTAAATATAAAACCCCAATCTATTTTGTCTATTATATTTGTCCTTTTTTTTCACGATAGATCTTGTAATAATAATAGTTTTAACTAATACATTTGATTAGTAAAGATAACGCTCATTTATTAGAAATAACTAACTTAACTAATTTCTCAATCTACTCAAATTAGTCAACTAGCTCTTATATTAAGGACAACAAGTAGTACTATTAGAAGTATTTTATGACAATCATGCTATATTTGTTATAATTAACTAATATATCTAACTTACTTAATCTACTCAAATTAGTTAAATAAATCTTTTATTAATGATAAAAGAGTATAAATTTTGAAAGAAGTGAAATTTTCATTATGGCCTCATCACAAATGTGGCAGCCTTAATATAAGAGAAGCAAGGTCTCAACATAGGGGTACTTGGGTACGACATATGTCTAATATTCTTTATTATTACCTCTTGTCGTTAATATAAGAGCTCATTTATCTTTTATTTTACTCTTAAATATAAGATCCTAATATATTTTGTTTCTTATATTTATTCTTTTTTTAAGATTATCCTTGCAACAATAGTAGTTTTAGTCAATACACTTGATTAGTAAGAATATTTTAGAAAAGATAATATTTATTTATTACAAATAACTAACTTAATTAGTTTTTTAATCTATTCAAATTAGTCAATTAGCTTTTATATTAAGAAAAAAAGATAGTATTATGATGACGAATCGAGAAATGAAGTTCATAATTTATGAATATCATACTTGGCTTTATATTTTGCGTTTCATGTTGAATATTGATGATTTGCACAACCATAGTATGAATTTTGATATTATGCCTTTTTTATTATGTTTTAAAATTTTAAATCCGCACAATTTCTCCTTCCTCTCTCTCTACACATACACACTTCATTAATCATTTTAAATTAACCATACTAAGTCCGCGACACTAAAATCTTTTAAGAAGTCATGAATAAGACGATTGCCCGGGAAAATTACAGCTTGTTTTTCTTGGTAGAAAACAAATTTAAGTGAGTTGGGTATTAGGGTTTATCAGGATTAGGGTATATCTTTAAACTCAGAAAATACTTACAGAGATACTTATAACTGTCCCACCAATAAGACAGGAGCAAGATTCAAACTTATAATCTTATGAATTATGAGTCGACTTCTTATTAACTACACTAACTCTCGTGGGTTACTGGTTTTTTTTTTTTTGCTAAAGCATGGGTTACTGCTTGTTTTGATATCAAATGTTTTAGACCTTCTTCAGGTCTAGAAAAATTATTGAAGCCCATGGAAAAAGCCCATCATCTTCATGTTAGGCCCAGTTGTGAGCCCAAGAAAATGTTACTGAGCCCATTGCTGAAGACTCGATCTTCTGCCTTAAAGGTGGACATGGGCGGATCCCAACCCGGTTTGAAATCGGGTGCACAAGGATCATAGAACCATACTATTCGTGGTCCACGCAAATTTCTTTAAACTTTTTATTCCTTCAATTAATTTTTCTTTATGTATTCTATTAGATTTCTTTGCGACTCTTTTTCTTATGGTGCGTTTGGTACGAAGGATTTGAAGGGAAGAGAGGGAGGAGGAGGGATTTTGATAATTTTTTTTTGTTTGGCAAGATAAAAATTTTAGGAGGGGAAAATTTTTTTTTAACATTTTCCCTCCCATCCACTCATAAGCCTCTCCTCTAAAATTGGGAGAATTTCGAAAGAAAGGGTAATATTTTAGTTTGTATTAACTAATATATCCATATTATTTTTTAATAATCCTATGTTACCCTTCATCGCTGGATTGTATGTGATTTGGTATATTTGTAGATTTAATCATGCCTCTTCTCTCATTTATATGCTATCAAATATAAAAAAAATAGTTGCTATCAAATATGTTTTAATTTTCTAATGCAAATCAAGAACTCAAAATAAAAATATACAAATAAGTCATCTATGTCTTCTTTGAAAAAGTTATTTGGCTACTCGTACCAACAACAGTGAGAAAAATGAAAACTGAAAAAAAAAAAAAACTCAAATTAAACATGTTTACTTCATTAGATCAAATTTTGGATATAAATACAATTATAGTTATTAGATATATAGTAGCTATTAATTATGTATTATTGTTATATTTATTTAATTTTGCTAATTATAAAAAGTTGATCTCATATATTAAATGTTATTTATAATTATATTTTATTAATTAATCTATAAAAGTTGTAAAAATCAACTTAAATAATATAAGGACAAAGTTGTCCACATAAAAATATTTTGCCTTCCCTCTCTTTCTAAACCAAATAAGGTAACATTAAAATTCCTCCCCTCCCTTCTCTCATATTAATCCAAACAAGATAATATTAAAATTTGTCCCTTCCTTTCATCTCCTTTTCCTTTGTTAAAATCTCTCCCCTTCCATCCCATCCCTTTTATTGAGCCAAACACACCCTTAGAAAAATAATTAGGTCAAGTTATTTATATTTATTATAAGTTCTTTAATTATATATACACATGTGTTTTACTTTTTTTCATATGAGTTTATTATTGAATGCTATTAAATGCTAATATTTTAAAAATGAAACACATAACTATGTGTAATTGGAGAATTTGACATGATAGATATAAAAAACTTGATCTAAGTATAGTCATTTTTATTATCCTTTCAATTTTTTTCTTACACATTTACAAAGTTTTAAATATTAGATAGTAGAAAATTAAGAACAATCATTTTTGAAGGCTTTTGAATTAAATTATCATCTAGATCCATATGAGAAAAAGGCATTTAAATTTTAATCTACCATTATCTATCTATTCACCTACTATTAAATTGAGGGTTGGAACTCACAATTTTTAATTTCACGTCTGAAAAAACATGCTTGATATCAATTGGAATAACAAGATTATATACACATATATTTAACATTATCTTCAACAGCAGAAAGATTGATAAGAGAATACTCAATTCATCATTAGCATTTCATTAAGGTACAATATAACATAACATGCAAATCAAAGTTACCACTTACGTACGAACCATGCATATATATATATGTATATATTAGCATTTCACTGTAACTTATTTTGATGACCACATATACACAAACATATATATATAACATACAATATCATTTTATCTTATTACATATATAAATTTTTTTCAATATACTCATAAAATATAATATTAGACCAGGCGTGGTTCTTTGAGCTTCACTTCTTACTCATAACCTCCATTGTTTTCGTATCTTTTTCGCCCTTCACTTTCTTATTACCACCGTCATCACCTCTTCCTTCTGCATTGTAAACTCTGAATCCAGACTCGCTGATTCTTTCTCCTCCTCCTCCTCCACCTCCGCCGCCACCGCCACCACCTACTGCTCCCCATCCTCCTCCTCCTCCTCCACCTCCCCCGCCGCCTCCACCACCTTTGCTGCTTCCACCACCTCCGCCTCCACCCCCTCCCCCTCCCCCTCCTTCTTCTCCACCAAATCCTTTTTCACAACCGGCCTCACGGTGACAGGATGATTCGCGCGTCATCGACATAGCAACGACGGCCAAGTCGAGAATGAGCAGAACAGTGAGCACAAACCCTAAGAGCTTGGATCTGATGGCCATATCTGAAATAAACATCCAAAAAGTTAAAGTGTGTGGGACAAGAAGAACAATGAAAACGAGTACCATATATATAGGACACTTCATTTACAGTCGTTTTGCCTTAAAAATATATGTGCAGTTTCAAATTATCTTTCATGAGCTTCTTCAACATAAATTATCCCAAGTAAAAAATCTTCGAAGAATCAATGAAGAAACATAGTATGTATGTACATACCTATGTACACATACATACATATCCTTTCTTTTCAATTACTCTGGCTAATATAAGATCTATTTGGGAGTTGGATTCAGTTTTAATTACAAGATATGAATCTATTTATCTTTTATATTTATCATTTTTTTCCTAAAATAAGCCACCTAACTTATAAACTATTATATAATCAAGTGTTATAAGGTAATTTTAAGAAGATCACGTCACATTTGTTATAATTATAACTAATTAATTTATTTGAGTTTCTTAATTAACTTAAATTAATTGAAAAGTATATCTCTTTATCGTATTAATGAATATAGTGATGACAATAAATAGGTGGCTCTATAAATAGGCATTGTAAAGCTTAATATTGGGTGAGTAAGAAAAGTTGGATAGAGTGATGTTATGGCAGCTTCAATTTGATGGGCAACCTACTGCTCACTGTGGATGAAAATTTAAGCAAATATATTATCTTGAAAATGAAATGGTGTAAAAGTAACCGTTGTCAATTTTTTCGACCAGAAATATGAACAATAATTTTAATAATTAATTACAATAAATTATTTAACTTCTACAGTTTTTTTTTCAATGCAATATTGGTGTTACTGAGTGTTTGTGGTTTAATTTTGAAAAGTGCACATATAATATAAAATTTGCATAAATTTTAGGAGGTAGTAATCATACGTAAGTATTAATTATCGATCATTTTCTCTTTTGTCTCTTTCAATTTAATTATTTACGTATGAAAATAGAAAAGATCACTTTACACACACACACACATGTAGCAATTTTCCCTGTTATAGACTAATGATGGATCGTTTGGTTCTACTTGCATGCCTTATTATTAGTTATTAGTAATCTGTTTTTTTTTTTGGGAGGTAGATATAATTAATTAAAAGATGAATATGATTTGTCATAGTTTCAAAACTAGACGTATCCTTTTTGTCCTTAATTAAAATTAAGCAATGTTCATATCAGTGGTACGTTTTAAACAGCAGGCGGTAGCTTAGGTTTGATATATTATGCACACTTGTATTTATAGTATGATGTGATTGCTTAACCGCATGAAATAATAAATTAAGGATAGAGAAATGATGGATATCTTTTAATTAATTATGATGTAATATGTAATAAATTAAGGGTTATCTTTAGCTACTGCCTCTTGTCACAGTGTGAAGTATGGCAAGAGAATAAAGAGGTCTTCTTTCCTCTTCCTCCTCCTCGCTTCTGTGCTGGTTTCTTCAATGTCACCGGCGGCGGAAACTGACTCCTCTGCGGCAGCGGCGGGTGCCGGAATAACGAATGCGAAGGCAAATCTGTGGTGTGGGAACAAGAACAAGGCGAGTGGAGTTACTGATGAGGAAGGACATGTGAAGATTAGAAGCAAGGTTGAAACAAGTGTTGTGGCTGTCCCTGTTTGTTTTGAACATACTTGAAAAGTGGCACTTTTATACGTATGATAGTGTTACATAAGCTAATAATGGATGTTATATAATGTTCTACGTGTGATATATATGGTAAGTTGCTGGGAGGCTCTGGTCAAAAAAAGAAAAAAAAAGTTGCTGGGAGGCGATACACGTGTGTGTGTGTGTGGCCCCTCCTCAACACATGTATGCATGGGTATTAGCATGATTATTGTCCTTTACAAAATAATGACAATCCTTTGCATAATGCTCCTTTGGTCTTCCATATAATTAAAACTAACTGAGAGGTTAAATTTGATTTTTTAATATAAAATCCTAATTAATTTTTTCTCATATCTATCATTTTTTTTCAAATTAATTTACCTAACCAATCAATTAACTGACATGTAATCTAATATTACATGATTATATTAAGAAGATCATGTCAAATTTTTTTATAATTAATTGATTTATTTGGCTTTCCTAATACATCTAAATTAATTATGCGGCTCTTATATTAAGAATGAGAACAGTAGGACCGACCGGCAAAAGCAAACAACGATTAAGGTCAAACAAGATTCAGGTGGCATATTCTCACAAGTGGATACTCAAATTCCTAAATCATTAACAAGCAGCAGGAATCCTCCAATCCTATCTCAAGGCCAGGGAATTAAAGTAATTGTTGACTTACAGCATGTAACAAAAAAGAATATGCTTCTAGTTACTACACATTGGTCAAAAGCAGTAGTGACCCTCCCAATTGATTATCTGGCAGTGTTTCTCCCTACTGGACTACCTTAAAATTAACAACAAAATCTTGCTCCCTGTCAAGCTACAATATTCAGACCTCAACTTATCATCTAAATGGTTTATGTGAATAAACCTAATAAAACAGCAAATGTATAAGCAATTGCAAGCAGGTTCACTAAAAGTGTATTTGCCCACTACTCCATGGACCTCTCAGCAGCATAAGCAACTTTCTGCATTATCATAGCTTCAGCTGTGCGTATTGCTCTCTGGGACCCTGTTATGGTAACTTTCCTGCATGATAAGCATGAAGAAAAATCACGTCAAAAAGTCTCAAGGTAAAATAAATAACACCAGGGGTTTTAAAAAAAAAAAATCCCCATACTGAGGGTATGAGGATAGAAAATTGTGAGAAAGCAAGTCCATTTTCATACCTATCGGTTGTCCCAGTCATAAAATCACCTCTATCTGATATCTTTATCCTTGCCCCACTAATCTGAAAAGCCATATTAGTCTAATTTAGTGCGTTGTAGAAGTAATCATATTGAACACAGTGAGAATATCAGCCATTGGAAAACCTGACTAATTTCAATTATGTTCCTTCCCCCGCGGCCAACAACCAACCCTACGTGCCCATCTGCAACACCAATTGTCATTGAGTTATTCCGCTCCTCCTGCCAAACAATGCATGACCATCTATCAGTTCAAAGAAACAAAGTAATCCGCCATGACGATATTTATAGAAATAAAAGGTTAAACGTGTTATATTTTCACACGAGTATGCTTGATCTCTCAGCATAAGAATTAAAAGGAAAAAAAAAAAAAAAAAGATAAACAAAAACGGTAGAAGAATCATATACATATAGAAAGCATGTGTGAATATGGTTAACAACCCCTTAGACATGAAGGTTCAAATGTTTTTCCCTTTTTATTTTGTAAATAGAATTCCGTGTTCTTTTACAACACTAACTGCAAGTGGAATAACACTTGCGTTATATTTGTACCTAGTATAACTTTAGACAGGTGCATATTCAAACAAAGGAGCAACATCCTTATCAAAGTTCTATGATGTGATTGCATTGAACAGTTCAACTTATTGAGCAGTCAATCCATACTAAATGGACCAGGATAGCCTTTCTTCTGGCTTTGGTCCAAGTTCATCCGCAGCGAAATGCAGGGGTATCAGTGGGATCAACCCGTGCAATACAGTGTTTTCAGTTACGACTTACACCATAATTTGACCTACCTGAAGTCGGTTCTCAATTCGGCTATTCGTCTTTTGGTCCAAGTCCAAATAAGCTCTATGGGCAAGAAATTTTTATTTTTCAAGTTCCATTTATAAACAACGTTCTGTCAATAACCTTCATCTTTCCTTTTCCCCTTATGTATTATGCAAAGTTTTCACAGGTTTAATGGCCGCTAGAAACTCCGACTTCTCATATCTAAGCTTATTAGCTTCAGCTCAAGTATATTCCACAAAATTAGCAGCCACTTGTACTCACAATTATCAAGGATTGACATGCATTTTTGCCCAAAATGCAAATGGGAAGTCCAATTCACTAACTGCTATTGCAATTCAATGTGATGTCAGAGTTGTATAAAAACCAAAGAGAGCTTACTTTATGGAAACACAGGAAAACCGCAGTGACCAAAAATAGTCTACCATCCTACTAGTGACTTGTGATTTATAATCAGGTACTCATCAAATGACAAATGGCATCAGATGTCACAAGCTTTGAAATATGCCCTTTCTTTCGTTTGAACATGACAAAATGGCACTATGCAGGATCGCACAGTTCAAAGGATTGAGAAGTGGAAGAAAGAAAACTAATTTCAGGATAGCAAGAAGGTCTTCGTTCAAGTCTCAACTCTCTCAAGATGCATCATGCTCAGCCTCAAAATATGATGTCATTCTTTGTTCTGTCTGACTAGGCAACTAACAACATCAGGAAACATTACTAACCTTGCTATTCTGGACTTTTCCTCCAGCACCATTTTGCCTATAGTTAATTCCATTGTAGGGTGCTGTTGCAACAGGAGGAACCATGTATGTGTAGGGTGCACCTTGATAACCAGAGAAGACAACACCTAAAATTCAAGTTAAGAAAAATATATTAAGCAACAAATTTATGATAATAATTCCTCAGAAATCATATCAAGAAGACATCAAATTGCTACTCAGTTCTTGATTCCATCATTTCATAATCATATATGGTGACGTAGTTTTTTTAGAAGTCCTTCTTTTCATCGTTAATCAGCAATGAATAAGCAAACTATGAAGGGCTTGTCAAAACTTGAGGAATAAGAACACCACAATTTAAGACCTGACTCAAATTGTACAGCCGCCTGAAGTGCATAAATAAAAGCCCAGATAACTTGAAAATTATGTGATAGCCGGCACAAACTGGAAGATTATAAAAGACAATTGCCAAAACACCACCCTAGACCTAAATAAAATGTCTCATCACCCCATACAGACATATAACAACAACAGTCAAGATTAAATCTAGAGCAAGTTATTAAGATTTTGACAGGATAGAGTAAGAAAAAGAGAAAGATAGAAATGTTGTAGAGAAAATTAGAAGTAGGAATCAGAGAGAAGGAAACCAGAAAGGAGAGAAGACATCGGGGATTTAGAGAGAAAAAGATGAACAAGA